CCCTACACGACGCTCTTCCGATCTCCCCAAAACCCCAAAACCCCATGCTTCATTAATAAAATTGAGTTGTAGTTTTCATAAATATTTAAAAATGAGTATTTTTGGAAATTAAGCGAATAGCTCCTCTAATATCGGCTAAAACCCTAATAACTCAGGAGCTCCAGGTTAGCGTCGATAAGTGAACTACACCTAAAGACCATTTCATGATTTAATTGACGAGGATAAAAGACCGTTTGTTGCTAGACGATATCTAAGTACTCTAATGGGCGGTTATAGAATAGTTTACAACGAAGCAGACGATGATTCTAAGCTCCCACCTCAACTTCACTTATTTCAAATCCTAATCTATTGTATAATTCCTGGTATTGTCATTGGCCTCACTCAAGGATTAAAAAATGATCGAAAGACAGCTGTACTAATTGGAGGTTTCATTCCTTTTGGATTGAATTTGATATTGCAGATTCTAGCATTCATTTTATAAAAGCAAATCAATAGTAAAAGTATTGCTAGTGTAGCAAAAGACATTAGTGATGTACCATTCTTTAGCAAAGAAAACTACTTATTTCTTATTCCTGCTAGATCATCTATAATTGAACTTATTATTGCTGTCATTTTAACTGGTGTTTATGGAGCGTTGATGACTTATTTCATTCATGAACGCACATTAATGATGTTATTGCATGACTTTAAAAACACTCAAGACACTTACTACATTATAACAATCGTTACTATATTTTTCTCCAGTTACTCTTTATTTTCCAGCCCAATTCCAGAAAGCACTCCTTATCTCACAAATGATTAGTTCTCGATCTTTTCTCATCACTATCAAAGAGTATTTTACAGTATAGTGATAAGTGGTTGTGTTTGCATAACTGAATTTGGATCTACTTTAAATGATTTACTAGTCTTGTATAGAGGCTATTTCGAGGTAGCCTATTGGGCTAATTTGGGAATTTTAATTCTTTAAATGATTGGCTTGCTTGGAAGTCCAATTGTTACATTAATGTGGGCAATGGAATAAGCTGATTTTCATATTCTTGGTTCCTCCACAAGGTCAAGCGATCTAAGAATAGTTCTAAGCTTTACAATTAATATCGCGTTTGTTATAGCAATGTATATTTTAGCTCTGAATAAAAGTTATCTGGAAGCAATGATTATGGCAAATATACTAGCATATTTTTCAAGTCACAATGTATGGATAGATTTCGGCATTAAGCATCCTTTCAAAGTTATTAATGAAAAGTTTCTTTAGCAGCAGGAATATATGAGTATTTTCTTTGGCATGTCAAAAGCTGGCAAATAAACAGATATACCAGTGATGCCATCAAGGCAATAAAATAATTAATAAAATACAAACTTAATAGTTGGATTCTTTGTAAAAACTCTGCTACCCTACTTTGTAGTGATTGCACTTAATGTCATAGTACTAAAGGAAGCTATTAAATTTGATAATGAAGATAATCTGAAAGCTACTATAATTGGATTATTTGCAGCTGCATTTGCAATTTGCTTTTTGACATACATTATTGCAGCTGTTTATAGAGTTGCTATTTTTAGAATAATTAAATGTGTAGGAGTAGAAAAGCAATCTCAACTGTTGACTTAGCTAATGAAGTATTTGATCATATTTGGCTTGACCTTTGCTTATGCTTGCCTTTGCATGTATCCATACAGAGATGTTGATTTAGTTTTCCATTATAGAGCTTTCAACAGGTTATTTCATTCTCCATTTGCAGCTTCTTTTGAAACACTAGGATTGCTAGTCTATCTTGTGACATAAGATAACGCTTATAATGAAAGACCTTTTATGGTGTTGTTCTTAATATCTCTTGGGCTGCATAGACTAATGATTTTGGGAAATAAATTTTTATATGTAATAGTATCAATAATCACTGCATTTAAAAACACAAAGCAAAGATTCAAGTCATAACTGTTCTGCTTCATTCTCTAGTTTACTATTCTACTACCTTTTTTACTTTTGGTTGTATTATTTTCAACAATATTCAACACAGCTACGATACCATTTTTAGGCTTTGCTTACTTTATTAGTGGGTATCTCAAGCCTGTCAGAGGATGGTCTGAGATTTCTCCAGTACTAGCTAATCCAAATGATCAAAGAAGCGATGCACATTTATATCAAGCTATGCAGCCATAACTCAAGAAGCAGTTACAAAAGTTATTCAACTATGATCCTTTCCTTTTTAGGGTTGGTTCATACTACTTAGTGAAAAATGAAAAAATGATTGGCCTCATCCAAATCCTTGAGAGGGGAAACAATTATCTAGTATATACTATGAAAGGAACTGAACTATAGGAAACAACAGTTTGTCATGCAGAAGAAAATGAGAATATTAACTAAATTAGTGAGCATATATTTAAAAATAGAAAAATCGGCTGCTTCTTCCCATTTTCTCTAAGCCCAATAAAGTAAATGAGTTTTGGGATTTATGATGACTAGAAGGTCTCTTTGACTGGTATTATTGACAGTCCTGATTTTGGTAGACTTGTTAAAGAGGTATTCATAAGAGCTATGGTTTTGAAGTATAAAGATCTGCTAAAGACTCACTCAGGACTAAAATTCTACAAAATAAATAAGGGAGAACCAACTCAAAGAGAGATGGAGTATGTTAAGTAGTTCTATGATCCAAACATATTGCAATACTACTCGATAGATGTTAATAGCTTCACTCTAAGTAATGAGATCATACCCAAGACTTTTGAAACATCTAATACAATTGCTAATAAAAATATAAACTTGCAAGTAAAAACTGAAAACAATTTGCTAAGAGCGAATTCAGGAGCAAATTCAGGCACTAATTCTAATCAACCAAGAAGTTTCTTAGAAATGATGGATTTATAAAACAGTAATAAACAGTCTCAATAGCAATCAGTTATTGTTCAAAATGGAGCAGTTCGAGGTGTGAGTTAGTTTAATTAACCTGCAATAGGTGGCCAAGCTAGTGCGAATCAAAGTAAAGTAGAGGAAGGCAAATCTTAGGCTATGATTGATGATGAACTTGATGGATTATTGTCTCCAGACAAACTGAAGAAAAATAATCTTCTTCCTCCATTGGCTGGGGCATCAAAATAACAAGATAACAACTTAAATGATTTAGATGACCTTGATGATTTCCTGGGAAATCTTCCAGGCAAAAAAGCACCTGAAAATAAGAGAGGTCTTCATAACAATAGCAATCATGCTGATTTATGGGGAAACAACAGAAACAACTAACCTACAAGAGATGAAGAGGATCCCTGGGTGGCTTAAAATCTGCCAAACAAGCCAAGACAAAGCTAACAATCTACTTAAGGTAGTAATGGAGTCAATGTGGTTCAGATGAACTATGACAAGAATAAGAGTTCTGTTGCTTCTTCAGGCAGAGAATACAATGCCATGAGTGACTTTGAAAAATTGATATTCTAAAGCTTCTTGGTCTGCTTCAGAGATTAGCATGCGTCCCTCCCACAGATGCTACACGATCTATTTAAGGGTGAGTTCAGGAGAGATCTTGAATCTGCTGACTTTATATCTTCTAAAGATAGCAACATTCTTTACATGAAATATGTCATTCTTTAGTCTGTGAGACTTGCTTTTCATTACTCTGTAGAGTCATTTGTAATGGGCGAACTAGGACTTCCATCAAATGAAGAACTTGAGGTAATTTTCAATAATTTTAATTCTGATTTATAGAAAGAGATAAGGTAATATGACCAGGAGTGGTTCTTAGCAGGTGAGGAATACATTTGGAACGCTGGAATAGAGAAAAATCTGCCCAACTTAGAGAGAATTATTGCAAAGAAAGGATAGTACTTTGCTCATCGTCTAAGATTCGGCCAGGCTGAGGAGACTAAATTCTCTTTGTTTGAGTTCAGAAGTGAAGTAGTCAGAGGCATTTGGGGAAATATTAATACAGAGCTACTTTACTACACTAATGCAAACGACGAAAGATTTTCTATTCAGGCTGAGAAAGACATTCTAAGAAATATCTTGGTGCAGCTAGCAGAGATTCCATTAGGATATCCGGTCTACTCAAGTGGAGCACAAATCATTTATTATTGAAGCTAATTCACTCTCATTTACTTTAATCACCAATAATAAAAAGAGATATTTATACATTTTGTTTATATTAAATTTTAAAGTATTTCTAATCATAAGGGGTTTTGGGGTTTTGGGGTTTTGGGG